AAATGCTTCAACGGAGGCTCTGCCGACCGTGCAATTAAGTAACGCATCCCTTGCCTTCCGCCCAGGTAGCTAGTCTGTGGAGCTGTACTCGCTTTCCCTTGGTCGAGCTGTGTGTGTCCGTGCTGCTGCAAACCTCCTCTCGGCCCCACACTCCCCGCGGGTGGGATTCCTGCCGCGGTGGGAGGCACCTGTCTGCGTGCGTACTCGTGCACAGACGCCCCTATAGACACGTAGATGCGTGCTGACATAGGCGTGTGGACGCTCTGTAGCACAGGTGCTGCGGTGGAACACCCCTGTGCCCCAGGCCCCTCAGGCGCGGCGTCTCCACCGCGCGTTGGCACACCTCTCGTAAAGCAGGGAGCGAGCTGGAGGGGCCCGCGTAGCCGGCACGTCGGGTCTGATTAACTAATCACAAGCTGATTAGCACCTTTGTTCGAGGGGGATGCTGATGAATCAGTTGCCATCGATCGGGAGCGCGGCTCCCTTTTCCAGCAGAGGGGAGGCTGAAGGAGCAGCCAAGAAACATTGAGCACCTGTTATAGTGATTAAATTTATTAAAACAAAGCGCATTAGTTTTTACGAAGCGATCTCGAAATGGGTCACTGAAGGGGAGCTTATTGATCAAAGAAGGATTAACTCCTCGAATTTCTCTGGCTTAAATTAGACCAAATTCAATTACAGCACAACAAACAGGTTAACGCTGCTCCTTAACAGCCCATCCATAAATTCAGGAAAGCTTCATTCCGCCAAAGAACGGAGCACGGGTTCACAGGGGAGCCCTTCGTGCTCGCTCTGAGCCTGCTGCCCCATAGCGGAGAGGAGTAGTTACCACTTTGTCAGAAGCCCACGAGTGGCTTCAGGCCACGAGCACGTGCGTCATGCCCAGCAGTGGTGTGGGGGACCTGAGGTCACGTCGGTGTGTTGGTTATTTAATAAGCTAAACTTTACCAAGAGGAAGAGGGCTAAGTTAGGAATGCTTCTGGGAAGCTGGCTGAGGTTTTCTCTTGCCTGCCTCGACAAAGATGTTGCAGTCGCACCTGGGAGGCACAAGAGCTGTTGGTGGGGTCAGTGCGTGTGAGCAAACGCAGCCCGCACTGTCCTACACCAGCAGCTTGAAATTATTTTTCACCCGGAAAATTAAGATAAGTTTTTGTGGGAGCGCAGCGATAAGTCCAAATATGCCAAAGTGTTGCGTTGTCACAAGAAGCTCCGTTGATTTTTCTGGGGCTGGAGCCAGCGGGGCGAGACGCCGCCTGACGTAGCGACAATCCCGGGAGTAGCGGGAGGGGGTGTGGGAGCTCCCCGGAGCTTGACAGAGCCTGCTCCCAAAAACGCAGTCAGCACCAAAGTTAAAAATAAAGTGGTTTGACCCCGGTAGGAGCGGGGATAATTGAGATTTAAAACGGTAGTGAGTACAGTCAGACCCAGCCCAGCCTTTCTCTGAATCTTGAGATGCTGCCACTTAGGATAAGAGTGGAAGCTAGAAATGCGTAGATGTGTGTATATATATATATATTTTAGAGCCTCATTAAAACAGAATTGAGTGGGAGCTTTTTACTGAGGAGTTGGGAGGAGAAGAGTCTTCCATCCCCTAACCCTCGCTGTAAGCGTTGACCCACATTGTCAGGATGTGGCTCTTAACATCTGCCAGCCTCTCGTCCTCCCGACGCAGCCCACGGGAAGCTACTTTTGCGCCGTTCGTCTGCAGAAATGTTAGACCGCTGGGGATCCTGAAAACGTTCATTTCTTTAAAAACTGTCTCCCCCTGCCAAAACTGCCCCCGTAGCCCCGGAGGTGCAGGTTGAAAAGGCGGCTGTTGGCGGGCAGCGCGGAGGTGGGAGGGGACGGGCTCAGCGTCGGTTCCTGTGTCACAGCCGCAGGTGGGAACCCACCGGGAACGTCTGTCTCCTCCATCTGCGTGATGGGTTGTGAGTCGCACGTGTTTAAAGGAAAACTTCAGGACTCCCGTGCGGGTGGTAGAATCTCCTTCTCGTTGATTGCACGAGCGCTTGGTTCGAATAATTAATTGGCAAAAACTAATTCAAGGCTGCCAAAGTCTCTTGTTGGCCACCGCTTGAGATGGCACTACGGGGCTCTCTGCTGCTGCTGCGCGCGGATTAGACAAGCGCGACGCTACGCCCGGTGCAGCACCAGCATCCCTCTATCCCAAGGCGCGCTCTCTCGATGTCACAGCCACAGTTGGAAAGAGAAATAGATTTATTTTTTTCCCGTTATCGCACGTGGATCATGCCCTGCAGTTTTCCTTTAAGGTGCTTTGGTGCCGAGCAAAGCGCCGCCCCACGCCATTAGGTTCTGCTAAAGAAGTAGCTGCCAGTAGCCCCGTAGGTGCCCGCCCGTTGTTCCCAACCTGCGGCGACGTTTTCCCCTTCCCTCACTCTTCCGTCCCTTCTCCCGCTCCCACCTGCCAGAAGCCCGCGAGCACACGTAATGGGAAAATTCGGACGATTCGATTTAAAGGCCAGCGTGCTCCAATATATATTAACATCTTAATGGGAAAGCTCTGCGTGTATACATTTACCACTCCCTGACAAGAGGGAATTAAATGTCAGAAGGATTTGTAGCATCTATAATTGAATTGGTGCTGAGAAAAGCAAATCGTAAGGAAGAATAACATATTGGGATTAGCAAATAATGTGGCATTTTGTCAGTTCCTGCCATCTCGCCTGTTCCCTCTTCAGTAATAAAGTTGTGATTTCTGTTTTAATCATAGATAGGGAGCAGAAATAGCTTTTGTGAGTTGGAGACAGTGTTTTAAAGCAGATCCTGGTTTTTAAGGTCAAGCCTCTCTTTCTTGAAATTTGGGGAGTTATTCCTTGCACTTTTCTTCCTTTTTTTTAATCTCCCAAGAAATACCAAGGGGCAGAAAACGCTGGTGGGGTGCAAAGGGGTTTTCTGGGAGCAGCATCCGACGTCAGTGGAGCCGGGCTTGGAGCTGGGTGGCTGCATTGGAGCACGCGGAGCCGCGGGGGTGTTGAAGCTGAGGTGGGGCAGAGTGGGTGAGGGAGGAGCACCTGGGGTTTATTTAGGAGTTGGAGCGAGAAGGCAGCATTGGCAGCACCGTAGCTTCGCTGACTTTGCCGAGGAGTCGGAGTTCCTGGCCTCTCTTGAGGGTGCCTCAGTTTCCTTTTCCTGTTTTAAGCTGCATGAGAGACCTAAAAATTTGTTTTAAATCTGGATTTTTCTTAGGAATCACAAGCAGTTTAGAGAGCAGATCAGTGCAGCTGGGAAAAGATGTGAGGTGGATTTTATTTTGATCGGTGTGTTTCGATGCCTCCAGATGCAGCATTTGAGTTTTAAGATGTCGCTGCTGTGCCCAGTCCCGGCCGGGGGCACGACTGCCCCGGCACTGGGGCTCAGAGCTTCTGGGGGCTGGGAGAGCTGGCTCAGGGACCTGTTTTGGTGGCAGCCGTGACACCTCGGGGGACCCAGCCAGGGCCAGCCTCCTACAACTTTAACTACGACAACGAAGAGCAAAACGCCTCATGGTGCAAAACCCGGCTAGAGGCACGTTGTTGAGCTGCATCTCGGCGCGTTTCTTCCTCTTGGCCACTCCACGTGGCAACGAGATGTTGATCCTGCCACGCTGGGAGGCTGCGTCTCCTCCTTAGCGCAGCCGAGCGGGACTGGGTGCTACATCTTGAAACCAAATTTTTAGCAAAAGGAGTGGAAGTCATCCTGAGGCCGAGCCGGGGGCGGGTCGTGTCGTCTGTCCTGGCGCAGACGTGCCTGCGCCCCGGCTGCTGCCTCCGGCGCTGGCTGCCAGAACGCTCCGAGGGTTCTTTTTGCACGTTGTTTTAATTAAAAGGCGCTTTATGGGGCTCTCTCAGTCATGAGTTATTTACCTGGGCCCCTTGGTTCTTAATCTCGGAGCAGAATTGGAAATATCGATAGAAACCGTGAGTCCCGGGCTGCTGCTTGAGAGCTTTGTCTCAGGTTTCGGCTCAAAAGAGCGCCATTACCTTCAGCTGTCACGGATCTGTACGCTTGATCGATAAACTTCAAATATTATTAGAGGTGGAGGCTTCAGAGATTTGCTCTGTTCTTTGGAGGGAGACGGAGATAAATCTTTCTTAAAAATTGACTTGCATTTGCACTCTCAGTCTTCCTGGTAGAACGCATTTCTCTTAGGTGTCTGGGCAACTGCACGCGGGACAGATTTATAGGCCGTGTGCTTCTTGTAGTGAAAGATTTAAATGGTAAATCCTTCACATATGACTTCACAAATCATGTAAAGTTAAAAGATTTTTACCGTTTCTGTTGCTGCTGTGCTTAAATTGTAAGGTATGGCCAGTAAATCATTTTAATGGAGGTGTCGCACTTGACTCAATAAAAAAAAGAGACAATGGTTTAGCTTCCATTCCAAAATGTTAATGTATTAATCAACGGGAGAATAATTGTTTTTTACTACGTTATAAATCTGGGTTGCCATTAGGATTGCAGCGAGGGTTGATGTAGCTGCGTTCTTAAATTAAAATTGTTTACACTGCTATACATTCGTTTTACATGGCCATAGCTCATTCAGGGTTCGTCGCGGAGTCGTTCCTCCGCTGCATCCGTCATTCCTCTCCTGGGTGACGGCATCCTAAGGGAGAGGCGCTTAGAAAAGGAAGCTAATTGCACGGTGAGGAGTTAAATAAATAAAGCAGGCGGAGGCACCGTAGGATTGCTGCTCGCGATCTGCTTCCAAAGGGCTTCCGGCAGCTCGGCGTAGGAGGTCGGTGTCTCCGGACTGCGCTGAACGGCAGAGGTCGTGCTCGACGATGCAGTCTGGTCGGCTCGCGGCAGAGGGTGGTTGTGAGCGCGTTGGCCGGGTCGAGCCGGTTGGGTTTTGGCCGAGGAAGTTTTGGGGCCCGAGCTGCAGTGTTCTCCACGGGGCACTTGTTGAGGGTGTTCCTCCAGAGCCAAGGTTGAACATCCCCGTGCTGGACCGCTCCAGCCGGCCCCTGGGGAGGTTGAAGTCAGGGGAGCGTTCTAGGGACATGTCCCAAACCACGTGCCCACCACCGCCTCCATCTCTCCTCCTCTCTCCTCCTCTCCTCTCCTCTCCCAGCTGTCTTTCCACCTGCGTAGTCGTAGCGCTGCTGCTTCTAGCGGAAAACACCTTGCGAGTTGAGCGGCCAGGTCAGTTCGGCTCCGGACAAAGTTCCTCTGCCCGAACTCATCTGCCGAGACGGCTCCGTGCTTCCCCCTTCCCTTTCGAGAGCACGAGGGTGGCTTTTCCGATCCTGAGCGCAGCCGCAGCCAGACCCTTGGGAGTGCCTCCGAGTAAGTCCCGACTTCTTATTCCTCTTCTGGTCTCAACAGATTCTCGTGCAGGTGAGGAAGGGGCCATCCGGAGCGTGGACCACGCAGTGGTTGGCGGCGTCGTGGCCGTGGTCGTGTTCGCCATGCTCTGCGTGCTCATCGTTTTAGGGCGATACTTTGCCAGGCATAAAGGTAAGGCGAGGACCAGAGGCGGGAGGGGAGAGGCCGTGGAGCGCACGTCCTTTGGCTTGGGCTGGCGTACTCTCTAATGAAATGGGCACCGGGCGGGGGGAGAGGCTGGAGCAGACCCAGAGCAGATCTCGACCCACGGCCAGACCCGTGAGCACTCCCCGTACAGGTATCTGCACAAAAGGATTCGTCGTTGCCCGGAGTTTGTTTAGGATATCTGGAAAAGCCGGTGGAGGAAGAGAGGCCGGGTACGACAGCAGCCGAGGCGAAAGACGTTGGGAAGAGAGGAGAAAGGGGGGAGAAGAACAACCTGAAGCAGAGTAGAAAAGGGGAAAGATTGGGCTCCTTTAAGCAAAGCGTATCGAGGAGTCACGCGAGCTCCTGCTTCCATTTCAGGTACATACTTCACTCACGAAGCCAAAGGAGCAGATGATGCGGCCGACGCAGACACAGCCATCATCAATGCAGAGGGGGGACAAAACAACTCCGAGGAGAAGAAAGAGTACTTCATCTAGAGCAGCCTTGGTTTCTATGAGGTGTCCAACCGTGGACGGTTACTACTGGCCCTATTTAAACGCTACAGAGACAGCGATATCGGAAGTTGCAACCAGCTTGTGTCTTTTTTTTTTAATGAAAAAAAAAAAAAAGCGAATGGGTTGAGAGTTGTGAGGCTGGGAGGGTCCGGGATTTGCTGTGTAAAATTATTCCTTGTCAAGTACACTCTGCTGTTCGACACCTCAGTTTGTTTGGGTTTTCTTTTTTTGGCCAAGTCCAGCTTGGATTTAGTTTAGTGAAGTCATTGCAGAAGATTCTGTGCCTTGTTTAATTTCTGTTCGTTGGGGTCGGGGGGAGGCTGGGAAGAAGAGGGGCTTCTGTGCGGTAGTTCCCTTCGGGTTTCTGTGGCTCTTCGTTTCCCCTTCCCTGTCGCGTTTCGCGGGACGCCGCGGAGGCGGTGGCTTTCTCGGAAGGGGTTTCTTTTTCTCTTCACCGTTTTCCGTTCGGGACTCGAGCTCGCCGGAGGAGAACCAGCGCATTTTAGATTCCGTAGTTTGCAGTTCGGTGTGCCCATCTCCCATTCCCTCCTGTCGGTAGTCGTGAAGGCTCGGAGAAACAAAGCGGCGAGAACCCGGTGGTGGCTGCCCGCGTGCCAGGTGCTTTCGATGGCGGTGACTAGGAAAGAGGCT